GGGCACCCACTGTATGTTTCACTGGTGTTCGTGAGAGTTGCCGAGTCACCTGTGGGGTTACTCAGAGGAGTGTAGCATGGAAGGGGTACATTTGTGTGCAGATGTCCTTCAGATCGGGAAGCAATGATCACAGTCTTTTTTAAAAGAAACACTATATATATATATATATATATATATATATATATATATACACACACACACACACACACACACACACACACACACACACACACACACATATATATCACATCTTTTTTATCCATTCATCTGTTGAAGGACATCTGGGCTCATTCCATAGTTTGGCTATTGTGGACATTGCTGCTATAAACATTCGGGTGCATGTGCCCCTTCCAATCACCATGTTTGTATCCTTTGAATAAATTCCTAGTAGGGGAATTGCTGGATCATAGGGTAGATCTGTTTTTAACTTTTTGAGGAAACCCCATGCTGTTTTCCAGAGTGGCTGCACCAGTTTGCATTCCCACCAACAATGAGGAATTTAAGAAACAAAACAACAGGGAAAGGGAAGGAAAAATGAAATAAGATGAAAACTGAGAGGGAAGCAAACCATAAGAGATGCTGAACTCCAGGAAACTGAGGGCTGCTGCAGGGGAGGGGGTAGGGGGGAGGAGTCACTGGGGGATGGGCATTAAGGAGGGCACGTGATGGAATGAGCACTGGGGGCTATAGGTAGCTGATGAATCACTGAACTCTACCCCTGAAATGAAAAAAAAAAAAGGAGAAGAAGAAGAAGAAGAAAGAAACCTTCCTAAATATGCTAAATGTGGAACTGCTCAAGACAACCAAAATACCAGGCAACCCCAAGCCTTCAATGGTTCAATGTTTTTGACAATGAAACTGTAAGAGTCTTTGCTCCACACAAATCTACTGTAATGTTAGGTATGTGATCTTACCCTGGCTTTTTTTTTTCTTTTACTTTTCTTCAAATTGGGTGTGGTCTTTGGTCTACTACAATGGGCAAGTCCTGTTTTCCTCGGTCTCAGGTGTCCCAACCATTTTAAGATGGCTTCCTGTTCCAGAGAGCAGGCGCTGCTGCGGACTTCCTGTGAACGATCTCGTTAAACCCTCACAAACCTTGCCAAACAGGCATTCTTATCATCCCTGCTTTCCAGACGAGGACACTGAGGCTCAGAGGAGGATAAATGATTCGCCATGGTTTTAAAGTTGGTAAAATGGCTGAGCCTAGGTCAGGAAGGTGTCTGTCTGACTCCAGATGCGACCACTACACTACAATGACTACTTCTGGGGGTTTTATTTATTTTTAAAGATTTTATGTATTTATTTGACAAAGAGAGAGACAGGCAGAAGGAGAGGGAGAATCAGGCTTCCCCCAGGGCAGGGAGCCCCATGTGGGGCTCTATCCGAGGACCCTGGGATCATGACCTGAGCCACCCAGGCTCCCTTTTCTGGGTTTTTAAAAAAAAAAAAAAAAAAACATTTTATCTGTCTGTCTGTCTGTTTATCTATCTAAAAAGTCAGCTCTGTGTCTGGCATGGAGCCCAGTATGGGGCCTGAACTCACGACCCTGAGATTAAGACCCGAGCTGAGATCAAGAGTCAGATGCTTAATTGACTGAGCCACCCAGGTGCCCCTGGTTTTGTTTTTTTAACTGGAGATGTGTTTCACAGAGAAAAATAAATTCTACTTAGCTTCAAGTCCCTGGTTTCTGTGTCTGTTACTTCAGACAACAGTGTAGCCTGCAACACGGTGGTATCAGGCACGTGGAAATAGTCAAATTCAGTGCCAGATAGGTTCCCTCCTGGAGCCTGGGGGGGGTGTCTATATGCTGTTTTCCTTTAACTGGGGTGCCCCATACTGACAACTTTGCCTTTTTTAGACATTTGCTCCCTACCAAGTAACAGTGACGGTAATATTTCATACTTCATTCATTTTCTCTGTCTGGAAATAAAAATCATTGGTCATTTCAAGCATCCCCTCCCCCCAACCCTTAGATGGAAGGTAAAAGTAATATGTCTATAAAAATGGGATGAAATTAGATAACTTACGATCAAAATATTATAAGTACTCAAGTCCCCATTACTTACTAGAACAACTTTAAGTTCAAGTGAAGTTTGGACCCTTTGAACTTTAAGTTCAAGTGAAGTTTGGACCAACTTCATGTACTGTTTTACAAACTATCATGAACCATATAATGAAAATAGATGATTTATTTTTTAAAAAGATTTTATTTTTAAGTTACTTCCACACCCATCATAGGGCTCGAACTCATGACCCCGAGCTCAAGCGTCACACGCTCCACTGACCAAGCCGGCCAGGTGCCCCAGGAAAAGAACTCATGTATTCTTATCTACAGTATAATTTGCAGTCATTCTCTATTCCTTGAGTATAGTTTTATCATATACACGTTGTTGACATAAAATATTTTTCCAGTATTGCAAACTTATGCTTTAACTAACGCACAAAGTTATTTCATGAACTACTTAAACGAGTTGCAAGCAGAGGCATTTATTCATTCATTTTTTTCTTCATACAATGAATCAAGGACCAATTCTACGCCAGGCTCTGTGGCAGGCACTGGAGTCACCACAAACAGGTGAACAGGACTTCTTGTTCTTCTTGCTCTAAAAGCTCACAGCATAGTAGGAAAAACCTCAACTTTGGCGAGTGCTGTGACGCTCAGTGCAGGGTACAGTGGGGGAAGGGGACGGGGGTTCCAAGCAAACAGCACGCCTGGGGCCCAAGGCGGGAGAGCATGTGTAGCCTTGCTCAGCGGAACTGAGGGTTGGAACTTAAGACAATTGAGAGAGGTATTAGCAGGAGATGATGAAGCAGGGCAGTGGAAAAATCAGACTTGTATTTACTTTTTTAAAAGATTTTATTTATTTGAGATAGAGCGAGAACAAGCAAGAGAGAGAGTGTGTGTGTGTGTGTGTGTGTGTGTGTGTGTACGGTGGGGTGGGGGGAGAGATATAAGGAGAGGGAGGAGCAGGCTCCCCACTGAGCAAGAAGCCTGACTCAAGCCTTGATCCTAGGACCCCGGGATTATGACCTCAGCCGAAGACAGATGCCCAACTAACTGAGCCACCCAGGCACCCCAAATCAGACTTTTATTTAAGATTTCATTTTGTTGAATGAGAGGGAGCAGGAGTAGAGGCAGGGGGGCTAGGAGGCTACCAGGAGAAAGTTGATGGTAGTGTGGGCTAGGAGAGTGGCAGCAGAGATAGAAAGAAGTAGATTAATTTAAGGGCTATTTAAGAAATAGGGGTGATGTATTTACGCTGGTAGGATTGGACACAAGAGTGAGGACAGCGAGAAGTCAGGCCAGATTTCTGTTTTGGGAAGTAGGGCAGAAGAGGCTGGAACTCTCTGGAATGGGAAACACTGAAAGTGGACCTTGTTGTGTTGGGGGGAAAGATTAGGAGTTCCATTTGAATGTTTCAGGTTTGAGGGGACAAACTCCAGGAGGCAGGTCAGGACTAAAGGCAGGAAGGTGGTTGTCGAACCCATGAGCAGGCAGGGTCGGGGAGACAGCACGCTGTGAGCATGTAGAACAGGAAGAGAAGAGGGTGAAGGATGGGACTGAAGTTCTTGGAAAGCGCAAGGTGACCTCATGAGGAAGTAATCTGAGAGGTTGAAGGCAGTTGGCTAGGTGAAGTTGACATGCAGGGAAAGTTCTGGATGGGAGATATGGGAGGTGTCTTTTAGTGAGCAATAGGAAGCATGAGAGCAGAAGCAACAGACTGGAAAATGCAGTTTTTGTATCTCTAGCATTCATTCTGATAACGGATATTGTTAGCAACTTGGTTGCCAGAGGCAGAGATAATTGGGAGATTCGATGTCCGAAGAAGAAGGAAGGCGAAGTACAAGGGCGATGTTCAAATCAGAGCGTGGGAGTATATGAAGACTATACAGGTTTTGTGCAGGCTCGACACGGATTCCCTTCGCAGGAACCCTAAAAGGGGTAATGCCTCTTGCCCACCCCCGTGTCTCACCAGGGCGAGCTGGGCAAGTCCGGCTGTCCTCCCAAAGTGGGCACTCATCTATCGTGAGGGAGGGAAAGTCACAGCCCATGGATTGTCCCTTCTCTCTGGGCGGGGCCACACCCTCTTCTCAGCCGGACCTGGGGTCCTGACCTTCCTAAGGGAGCCCCAATACCTATGGGAATCTCATGACCTGGCTGCCATGGCCGCTGTCCCACTTCCTTCAAGCATCCCGTGCAGAGGACAAAGCTGTAGAAGAATCTTCGCTCCAGAGGACAAGACAGCACTGAGGACAAACTATCCATGGGTCCCTGAATCACCCAGTGTCAGCTCTGCTCTTACCAAAATCCTCTTACTGAAGATGGTATGCAGCCGAGTGAGTTCAACTAGCATGATTTCAGCCTTGTGTTAGAAATTCATGCTAGAACGTGTTCACAGTCACTCAGCCCAGAAGGGGTTGTGTGGTCCTCCCACAGCGGACCCCCCCATTCCCCTTTCTTATTTCTACAGTGATATTTTTCTGCTTGAACCTGTGGGGTTTGCTTTAAGCAACACACTCTACTGATAGGATGAACAAATTACTCTGGGTTTCTTGGAGGTGACCAAGAATAGCTCTGTTGGCTTCCGTGGAAGAACAGGGGAACCAGTTTGTCCCTGCTCCACTTCCTCTTGCCCGAGGTAGAACCACCTAGACAGCTCTGAAAAAGATAAGCAACTGCTTCTCACTGAAGCCCTCCCTCCCGCCTGGCTCAGCAGCAATGAATCAAGAACAAAAAGTCTCTTTTGCTCCCCTGCAGCCTTTCCAGAAGAGGCTGGAAAGAAAGACCCGCGTTGATTTTCACAGAACAAACTTCACATCATCCACCAAAGCCTATGGCAAACTGCCAGGGAGGGGACTGTCGCCAAGATATTTTGTGGTCCAAGAAGTTTGAGAACCACGTTTGGGAACCCATCACAAAGGTGAGATCCCTCCGAACGATTCCTCCCCCCGCCCCCGCCCCCACCTGGCCCAGGGCTTTAGGTGCTAGATGACAACAGTAACGTTAAGGGCACTTTATTATTCAAAAAATAAATAACAAGATCATCCCAAGTTCACGCTGGAAACAATGGAGACTGCAGGTAGAGACGAGAGATTTCCTTTAAATACAGTCATTTCAGGAGGAGTGGGCAGCCTTGGAGTCTCCGCCTCTGCTCCCTCCTCCCGCCTACAGTGGTGGAGACGGGACAGGGTTGAAATAAGATAACGGATTAGCAACAGCCTGAGTGTCGGGGTGGCTGGTGGGGGCAGGGTTTTTCAGTTCTCTGCTGCACCAGACTTTCTAGAGCCTGCCCCCTCCATCGGGGTCATGGGGACCAGGGCTCAACCAGGACTGACCGCGAGCTGAGGCTCCCCGTGGCCCTTCTGCATCTTCACTGGGAAATCAAATGCATTATCCGCTGAAAGACACTGCATGCAAAGAAACGAAATGAAACTTGACTCATGATCTGCCATTTACTCAGAATTCAGTCTGTGCGTAATGGTCTCGTCTTTTCACGGGACTCTCTGGGTGTCTGCATGCGTGGGGCCGCTGCTTCCAGAACAGAAACCTTATGGAACGGGGCCTGCTGGGGTTTCACCGGCCCCGGCGTTCCCTTACCGCAGCCCTACCTGCCTGGGGGTGTATAATAAATAGTTCTCCACGAGGAGGATCCTAGGGTTATAAATAGGCAGTTCAACAGGGGGTGGTCTTAACTGCTTTGCTGTTTGGCAGCCCGCGAGGGGCCACCGCTCAGAGTTTGAGTAAGCCAAAAGACGTGAAGCCCGTCCCGTGGCTCACTAGGCTTGGATCAGTCACGTTGACGAACACCGAAGCACCGGGATGTAATTCAAATACACCCCCCAAGTGGACGGACTGCTGCCCACAAGGCTTGGAGGAGCTGCGGGTGTTTGCAGCCCTGAGCAAGACCCGCTCCGATCCGCTCGGGGAATTCAGGCAGAGGCTGGCTACAAACGGAGCTTGACTCGAAGTGTCCCGATTGGAGCAGAAGGTGACTTGGGCGTAGATGTAATAGAGTCCTTGTCTTTTCACGGCCAGCTGTTTCCCGTTTTCGAGGGTTACCAGGTTGCTGCTTAGGGTGTAGTATCCTTTCGGGGCCCACTGCAGAACTGCAACAGACAGGGAGCGCGCGTGGTGAGGCTAAGCGTGTATGGTTCCCACTCCACCAGAACAGAGTTCAATGTTCCATCCTGGCTTCCTATACACGCAGACGCTGGGGCCGCCGGGGATGCTTACGGAGCCCTCCCGCCCTCAGTTCTCTCACCCATCGGCGGGGCCTTCACAGTCGGATGGAGCTGAGTTCCCACCCAGCCTTTAGTCACGCTCACGCCCAGACACTTAATCTCCCTGAGCTTTTATTTCCTCATCTGTAACACGGGGCTAGTATTACAGCGTCTCTCGGAGACTTGTTTTGAAGATTAAAGACAGCAACCGGGCACAGTGAGTTTCCTTCTTCCTTTTAAAGCATTTAAAGCCAATTTGCCCTTGAACTTCAGATGCGCGTTTTAAAATTGCACGTCCTAAACTACACGCACCTACAAGACATTCGGACAAAATCCTTGCTAACATGAACACTGTTATCTCACCAGCCTTGGATTTTACAAAGTCAAAGAGTTGCCCGGCTGTGTAGCTCAGCCTCGGCTGACAAAAGGAAAGACCCCATTTCTTCCTACCTGCTCATGCTGTCGCAAACCCAACCTGCCTCCCACAGCAAGGACTAAAATTAGGCAAGGAAGTATGAAAATGAACCTGTCATTTCACTGTGTTTTGATCTTCCATTGTAGTGGGCGCCACCAACTTGAAAGTACCTGTGTTCTTGTGGCTAAACCTGAGTACCCACCAACGGTCTACCATTTTCTTGGTGGAGATGTTGAGTGGGTTCAAAGGTAGTGTGTGCACCCGATTTCAAATCTCAGCTCCCACAGCGAGCTAGACTGCTGGGTGTGAGGGTTGGGGAGAAGTGAAAGTATCGATCATTTGTTTCCTTGAGCCCTTTTCTAAAATTCCTACTTGGCCATCGAGCACAGTGTGAGAGTCAAGCTGTTGAGACTCATTCTTTAGCAACAGGAAAGACATCCTGAAACGTCTAACATTTCTTGGTCCTCCGGACCACTCCAGAAATGACACTTCCTTATGATGATTTCACTTTCAGACCATTTGAGAAGCCAAGGGGAGGTTCTCTGTCTTTTAGTCCACTAGGGTTATCTTCGTATATCTTTACCTAATCTTTGTCCTTGCTGTGGGATGCAGGTCAAGCTTGTGGCAGTGTGACCAGCCAGGAGTGGGGTGTTTGCGACTGGGTGTGGGGGGGTGAGGAATCTTTTTGTCTTCACACCTTATCCCCTTCAGACCTCCTGTGAGGCAGACCAAAATATGCTGGGATCATATTGATCTTGGGATCTTTTGGCAGAATCTGAGCTCCATGAAATCTACCCAAGGGCAAGGGTTTCCTTGCCGGTGGCCAAACCCCGGCAGAAAACTACTCTTCTAAGCAGTGTCTCTGTTGCTGTCATGCAATCCGCGTATGCAAGTGTCATGCGGACTGCCACCCTGGCCACACCACCCCAGCTGGAACATTCTCCTGTAAGTGTATTTTCTGAGAACGGCTACCTGGCAGGATTATTAAATATGGTATTAACGAAGGGCTTTCTGCGACTCTTCTGACATCCAAACTACCATAAAGGAAGCTAAGTAATAGCACCTTACATTTGTCTGGCCCGTGATAGCACAACCTTCTTCCACATTAGCTGACTGGATGCTGAGAGCCACCCTGGGAAGTAAGTCAAGCGTGACAAGGCAGCAAAGGGACTTGCCCATGGTCACCTAGCAAGTGGTAATTCATGGTTCCAGAATCTCAGTTCAAAGACTTCCTATCCAGTGCTCTTCCTTCTGTATCACCATCTGTGACAACCACGTATGTGTTACACCCCATGAGAAGCCCAAGCTGCCTCGGAGATGAGGGGGTATGTCTCTCCTCATCTCTCTGTCTTTCTCATTGTATGTGTGTTTCACTTTCATACACACACACACACACACACACACACACACACACACACTGTTTAGAACTCCTTTCTGGAGCACTGTGCTAAGTTTTTCCAAGACTGCTCTGATGCCCTCAGACTGCATTTATCTAACGAGGGGAGTTTTGTGCTTGCGGGCATGTTTCCATCCATTTATCAGATGCGACGCATTCTCGGGCACCAATTCTCTCAAGGTACAGGTTTGGGAAAAAAGATCTAAGAGCTAGAATGATGGCAGAACGTATATGGAAATAAACTCGTTCAGAGTTGAAAAGATGACAGAATGCTGTCTGTTGTTACTTCATTGGAAAATCTAACGTCCTGGTGCCTATTGATCTTTGCAGAATGATTTTACCTTTAATTTCCCTGAGGTTGGCCCCCATGAGGCTGGGGTTAATCATACAGGGATTGACAGATGGCAGGAAGTACCCCCTGAGGCCCATTTACACACAGCGAAGAGGGGTTAGCATGAGGAATGCTACCAAGCCAGGAGGTCACTACCTGCCATCTCTTCTGTGTTCTCAGAATAATGGTCCCTCCACCTAGCAATTCATCATTTAGAATCGGCCATTGGGCAAGAACGTAATGAGAACATCGGGATTGCTTCCCATCTCCTTTTGTCCCTTCAAGTCCCATCTGTGCCTCTGAGCTCGCTTTGAAGACAAAGCCCAGCATATGAGAGGTGTAGGGGTGGGTTGGTAAATTGGGCCCCAGAGGAAGAGAGGAGCCTGATCATTAGGCCGTCCTGCTTCTGCATCCCAGTCTTCCTGCCTGGGTGACCAGCTCAGATGCTTTCGACTTACCAGATGCTGTGTTACTACTGGCCTCACTTATGACGTGGGCTGCAATTTGAGGATCTTGATCACCTGGAATGAAACCAAAAGCCAACTGTCAGGCCAAAGCAACGCAACACTGCCCACAGAACGATCTGGTCTAGTTCTACAGCTCCGTCATAGAGACCCGGCTTAAGTAGGTTACGCAACAGGAAAAGTGCAACGGTCCGAAATCCCCGTCCCCGGGGAAAGCTGGTTTCTAGAATCTGAACAACCAAATGGGCTATTTGCACTGACCCCATTCTTCTAATGGGTGTTCAGTACCCAACTCCACTTTACCTAGATTGACACAGGCTAACACTCGGGTCTTCGTGAAACACACTTTGAATCTTGCCATTAGAAACAGCTCCCGTCCATTGGGAGTCCCACTGGGCCCCAAGGTGGTGTCAGCACACTTCACTGGTATGATGCCAACAGCATCTGATGTGGTCAAGCAACTGGCCAAACTACTGTGCCTAGCTTGGGTTGTTTCTCATGTAAAAGCCTTGCTCTTTAGTTAGTTAGATGTGCTGATACTCTGTGTTCAGAGACTGTGTGGAAGTTTCCTTTTTTTCTCCCCCTAGGAATGAGCTTGCTGTCAGACACTTGGCAGGTGCCCTATAAATATTGAATCAAATCGCATGACCTAGATAACCGGTTGTGTTGAGTTGATCCTTTTCCTGAAGATGGCTACGCAACACCCACGTGCACCCATTTCCTCATATTTCACTGTAAGTCACAGACAACATGGCACCATTCAGCGTATCTTACAATCTGAAGATGAAAATGTCCTGGAGATTGGATGACCCTTGTTTCCAGAGCAACAGTTAAAGCGAGCTCTGAGTACACTCCTGGCCTCCAAAAATGATTTCTGTAGCTCTGTATGTATATATTTCTTTGTGGGTATTAGTTTGTACAAGCCATACATCGTTTTCATTGACATTGTGAATAACACCCATCTGCCACTCCAGGCATTGTTATTGTGTTTGGGGTGCTGAATTCTAAGAGGAATAGGGAGACGAAAAGCCCCAGAAAGTGTCATGGGAGGCACAGTGGAAGACACTGGGGAGGTTTAACCTGGAGAAGAAAAGGCTCAGCGGCCATGATTGCTGTTTTCAACATCTGGACAGCTGCTATCTAGAAGAATTCTATTTTACTTAGTATGGCCCCGAAGAGCAGGACTGGGTCCAGTGAGTGGAGATTATAGGAATACATTTCAACTCCAGAGGAGGAAAGACTTCTCTCTGAGTAGCCTAGTAATCTTGCTATAATTACTAGAATCGTTCAAAGTTGGACCAGGATGATTAATGGGCTAGGCATGTTAGATCAGAAACCAGATGGTTGTGAAGATTTGTGCTCTGTGGGTGGCACTGCGTTTGAGAACCTTGCCTTCCAGTCAAGATCCCTTCCAACCCTGAGATATTTGACATGTTCTGACATCAAGAACAGGGCAAAGAATGGAACATTGTCACACAGAATCATTCCTTGATCGCAGCTCCTCCACTGGCATGGTTCTCCACCAAAAACTATTATTATTGAGCAATGAATGCTAGCAATGACTTTCTTGTCATCTTATCCTCTGTGGGGGGCACTAGGCCATATGGTGCTTTGATGAAGATATTGAAAAGAGTGACATTTCTTCATACATGGTATTGTCAGCCTCAAAGGAACACAGCCTTCCCCATATATGGGTCCATATTAATCCTTTCCAAATCACAGGTGCTAGAGAAGGTGTCAATCTGGCCATTGTAGTCCTGTTTTATTTCCAGGGCTCCAAGTTCCCTAATTCTAACAACAGGGTTGTTCAGCATGATCAGCCCAAAGCTTCCTTTTAGGTGTTAAGTGCTCACAAAAATGGATAAATAGCAACCTACCTTTTTGCATCGCAACGCTTTTTTCTTGCTTCGCTTCTTTGTTTAGCATTATGTCCTAAAATGAGAATCAGTGCGAAAGGTCATTTTGACAGGAAACCTGGTGTGGGGTTTTGGAGGTATCATTCGTTTGGCATCTGTCATGACTCTAGTGCCTGTTCCTGGTGAGGATTATCACATGGACTTAGATCCTGTCATTAATTCCATCATAACGATTGGGAACCCATGGCACTGACAGATGAGCTGACAGCCCAGAAAGCCCAAGGGGTGAGCCTGGAGGCAGGATTGGGGCCCTATTATCTGCACTGCAGGGCTCTCCCCAGACTGGAGGCTGTGACACTGACCCTTCCTATGACCCCAGCCTCCCTGCCTTTGATGGGTATTGACAGATAATGCTGAATGGGGAGATGTTTCTACCTTGGGAACCGGTATATGGAATATTATTAAACATAAAGCAGGGGATGTATCTATTAGAATAAAATTGGTCTGAAATATCTTAGGAAAGGGTAATAGTACGTTTGATCTTGGGAAGAAATTCCAGACTACAAACAGACCCTCAGGCATTTTTTATTGTCTTATCCCTGTCCACGGGATGAGGGAGATTCTCTTGCAGTTGGCTGCCTTGTGTGTCCTGTATATATTTAGAATAATCAGCATATAGGAAACCCAGGTAATCTCCCGATGATGCTGGTGTTCAAAGGCAAATGTAACACTTCCTAAGTGGTTTCTTTTCACTTAGCAACCAGGGAAGTTCACAGGCACGGCCATCAGCACAAGCAGGAAGGGAATCAGGGATTCCGCTGCCATTTTGAAGATCACGCATGGTCACGCAAAGAGTCTGAGGCTGAAGCCAAGAGCAGGAACTCTGAGATCACGTTCAGAGGTCGACCTAGCTTACTCCATCACTTTGGACTCTAAATACAAGGGCCAAGCACAGTAGCATTTTCCCCTCTGATAATCAAAGTCTTACACACCTTCCCATTCCTGGACTCCAAGTTTTCTACAACGCCCTCCCTTTCTGTCCTTCCCCAGAAGGAATTAGTGTTGGGACTGTTGAGCACCCCGGGGGAGGCTTAGCGTGGTTGCCAGATGTGAGGGTGTAAGTCTCAGAGCCCCACCAGGGAGCCTCGAAATGCTCCCAGGGGCCACAGGTCTTCAAGTTTCCACTTGAGCTGAGAAAGTGCGGCGACAGGAAGATGTTTGTGAGACACCCAGTAAACAAATGAGTATTTAGTGTCTCCTCAAAAATGGAGTGTGATGATTGAGGTTGAGATACTTTTCAGCTACGTGGTTATGCTGGTGTCAGGGTTTGGCCAAAATGAAAACGTGAAGTCAGCAAAGTTTGTCTTTTATGTGCCCAGCCCTGTCTTCCTGCGAACTTTCCCTCAGCCACACTCCCCAGAGCCCTTTTTTGCCTCCCTTCCTTCACTCCCCACCTTGACTGGAAGACTTTTCAAAGTTGACATTCAGAAAATCTCAGATAAGTGATTTCTTTCTTACTGGGGAGTCTACGTGGCAGGTATGGACGGGTTGGCCTCTACCTTGAAAAGGAACCGTGTCGACCCCTGTCAAAGACATCTCAGTCCTCGAGGGGGCAGACAAGCCTGAAACTGACTAGTCTAGTGGGATGGCGTCACTAGAGCTGTGCAAACCGACCTTGATGACCACTTGCTAGGGACCGTGGAGAGAAGACTGAGGCCCTGGGTTGATCATTGGATCTGGTTACTTCTAAGACCCCTTCAAGACCTATGATTTGGAACCCCCAAATTCAAACCTTTTGGTTGCTCTGGCCCAGTCAGACAGTGAAGCCCAGAAAGAAAGCCTGCTAACACTCGCTGAGAATACTAAAATCCACTTTGGGGTTATTCTACAGGTGACCAGTTGGATTTTTTTAAAAAGCCCAAAATATGGTTTAGAATGAGAAATTTGGGAGAACGGGTATTGGAAAGGGGGTCAGTCAGTCTTCACTGGAGGACTCTGCGACACATGGCACTCATTAGGATCCCGCCCTGGGGAGCAGTAGAGGTGAGGGACTTCCTCTGCCTTAAGTCAGGAACCCTGGTTGACATGTCTGAGAAGGTCTGCCTTTCTATAATATGAAACTTGGGAGCTGTCACTTTGCTCATGCAAGCATAAAGCAGAGAGGCAAGCCCAAGGAGCCCTTGCTCCTATCCTAGGTAGCTGATTTGGGAAGTTTTATATATCTGACCTGAAATAGAACTATTAGAAATTGGCCATTGAACGATAAGACTGTCAGTAAGACAGAGTTCTCTCATTTATAGATGAGTAAACAGGCCCGGAGAGGGGAAGCCATTTGCCCGAGGTTGCAAGGCCAAGCACATTAAATATCTAATAAATATTTGAATTATTAACTGTTGTTCTTAAAGTGGCTTTCTTCACATTTAAATTTGTAACCCCCCCAAGTACCCTATGGTACTGGCTAGAGTCCTCAGACAACCAGAGAAGCTCAACTCATTTCCAATGAGTTGGCCAATGAAGAGGAGTCTTTATCTAAAACCTAGATTAGTGTAAAGAATGTGAAAGCCAACAGCAGATTTGGGCTGCCTTCTGATTTCCATTAGGGGACCCAGGAAGAGGTTATTAGCGTCTTTACCATTGGAGGACAAGAATAAACTCAGAAATAAGATCTTAAGTCCTTTACTCCTGGGTTAAATGATAGATTATTTATATGGGAGAAATAACTGCTGTTGGTTTATCCAGGTTACCCCCCGACCCCCCATAGCTTGGCACAGAGCTGCCTTCAATGTGGAGAGCTGCCTCTTACTGATTACCCCAAAGTGAGCTGAGGGCCCAGGGGATTCTACTCAGTGTTCTGAGAGGGGAAACAAGCAGAAAGGCTGTTTGATATTCTGCTTCAGGAGAAAGAACATTCTAGACTCCTTGTACATGATGATGGAATTCATGTCGTAAGTGCATCCTCAGTTAATCCTCTAAGGCTTGTTTGCTGTACCTATTACCGGCCTTGGTGACTACAGGGACTCCTTGCTGGGGCCTCTGTCTGCCTCAGGGCTTGGCCAGTCCTACAGTGGACTGACTTCATGAGCAAGTGGTGTTCCGTGGGGTCTGGTTTGAGCGGTACCGAGAAAGTCCATCCCCCTTTCCCCATAGCTCTCCTCACAAGTAAAGGGAACGATTTCACTTTCATGGCACTTGAAATTCTGTCATGAGAGAAGTGTTCGTTCCCCAGCCTTCAGGAATCCTTACTGCCCTCAGTAAAGGCAGGTCCCGACCTTGGGGCCATCCAGTGATCCTTGCTCCCCTGGGAAATGGGGACTGACCATGGGTCCATAGTGACAAGGCAGCAAGGTTTGGATGGAAAGGTAAGAAAATACCAAGAGCCAAACTCGGTGTGCTTCATAAATGTTCACAGGGTAGTATCCCTAAGAGAGACTCCTTTTGTTCCTCTCGAAAACATTCTTATGAATGTGCACACTTCCAGTTTTTCTTTCCCTTTCACGTAGGATTTTGGCTTCATTTTTCCTTTTTTTTAATTGGATACATATACCCATGTGTGTATGTACGCACATATGTACATATGTCTACAAAACGTCTACGTTGTCAGCGTTTATTTCCCGACCTAGCAAAAGCAATAAACAGTTTCAACGACCCTTTAATCAACAACTGAGCTCCTTACCTTGAGAAAGGCTTCAAACCGGCTTTTAATTTCCTCACAGTTCAGTAAGGACAAGGACCCCTCTCCTTTGTTGCATTTCTGTAACGTTTTCATGAATACAAAATCTTCGTAAAGATTCCTTTCATCTTCTATCTATTTGTGAAATAACAGGGACATGAGAACATAATTCCGGAGAAGGTGGCTGATAATGTCTCCCTCCACAATCACTTCCATGGCAACAATAACAGAAGGAGGATTTTGCAGATATAAATGGGGAATAAAAGTTATTTTACTGGATTATTGTTATTTGGTATCAGCCGTTAAAAAAATCAACAAAAGCCAGCAATTAAAATGTCCTATTACCCGAAACTCTAGGTAGAAATCACTGCTATTCTAACAAAATTTTATTACGAAATGTACATTTCGTCCATGTATTATAGCAGCAATGTTCGAGAATGATCGTACTCCTCATTGCTCTGTAAGGATCATTGTGAACCCAGTGTATAAACTCGTTTTCCACCGAGCTCATTTGCCTACTTCACTTTAGCTGGTGCTGCAGTGTTTTATAAAAAGCAGTTAATTTGCAGTGTGTGTCAATTAACTTGAGTTCTAATTACATCTCTCTCTTTTTAGCTTTAGTATTTGTGGAAAACATTTGCATTTTTAAGGAAACCATCTTTCATTCCCAAAGTTAACGAGTTAAATGTATGGAATTCACTTGTGTAATAAACTGATTTGGCCATTTTCTTGTTTTAAAATGAAATTTTTAGATTCAAAACAAAAGCTACTTAGCCAGCGGCTTCCACTGTCCCTAAGAACACACCTCAAGGCTTTGGGAGACGTGGTCGCTGCTTCTCCCCATAGAGGCTTGGGTCCAGGCATTTGATTGACAGAGGCAACCAGGCCAAACACAAGCCAACAACCAGACCCCGAATCCTGCTCTTTACTCAACTACAAATCTGAGTAACCCAGTGCATTGCCTCAACCTTCACTGCCCCTCCTTATCCTGATGAAAATAATGGTGTTAATTCTAGCATGGGATCCCAACAGACGGCATCGAAACATCCCTGGGAAAGTGCAATCTCCAGATGCTGTGCATTGACAACCCCTTCACCCAGATGTATAGCAACAGCCAGATAATTCGCCAAATTTCTCCTTTTCATGTATGAATGATGTTCTGTTGGTACAGCCAATAATGCCGCTCAGTGGAAGTGGGTAAACACACTGAAATGGGACGAATCCCAACAGTTATTTTCTCCTGACAACACCCAGCTACCTCCTAAGTTATTCTACTGTTTTGTTCCTGTAAGTCCAGCCACTTAAGCATGTAAAACATCTCAGAGGGAAATGGAGCAGCTTGCAACAGTCAGTGCTTGAAGAGGTATAGAGACAATGCGACTTGTACTATAAGACTGTAAATTCCAGACTTATCCGTGTCTGTGCTAATCTGAAACACTAGGAAGTTTCAGATCAAATTCCTACTCTCCTTCTCTAGTTAGCAATTTAAAGAAAAAAAAAAGGCATCTCCATCAGAAAAACAAGTTTACTTTTTAAGCAAGACTTTAGCAAATAATTATAGCTAATGCGCACCTAGTGCTCCCTCTTCACTGGTTCTGGTCTAAGCTGGCTACGAGGCTAAATTCATTTAATCTACGAGGTGGGTACTATTATCTTCCCCGTTTCTAAGATGTGGAAACTGAGGCACGCAAAGATTAAAATAACTTGCCCAGGATTGCAGAGCTAAGAGGGGGCAGAGTCAAGATTTGAGCCCACCCAGTCTGATACCAGAACCCAATATCTCGACCAGAGACAAGAAGAGAAGACCTTACAAACTAGATGACAAACATAATGCTGTGAGGCCATTTCAGCTATGTGGGTTCCCACCATGGTCCATCATCTGGGCAGCCCTAAAACCATTCAACCCACAAATCAATAAAGACCCCCCGCTTGAGTTAACCAGGGCACCTGGTTCAGCTTACCTTGTCCAATCTTCTGTGAAGATACACAGCAAAAAGTGCTGACCCAATCATCTGGGTGATGAGAAAACCAGTAAGTAAATACATAAAAATTTTCATACTGACGGGTGGTCCGGTGGCCACAGATCGGGGAGCAGTTTGGCTATATGTTTCGATCATGCTGTGTTAGAGTTGAAATGATATCTTCAGACCGAGAAGGTGGCAGGGGCAGCATGAGAACACTGTCAAAGTGGCCACCTTACTCAGGATTAGTTAAGAGCGCACAATCGTTACAGCCCACACTTCCTGGAAAATGTGCTTCGTAGTCTTCTCTCCCAGCAAAAAAGTTACGTAAAGGTTTTTTGTTTTTTTTTTTTAAATTATACCCATATCATTCACTTCCAGGCTTTCCCTTTTGTTAGTAAAGAAGAAACAAGTCTCTTCTTCCATACATTCATTCTTGCCTTGAAATGTCATAGACTTCTTAACAGACAATGGCAGTATTTTCCTATCGCTAGCTTTCTGGGTTCACCAGTTTCAAGGAAAGTGACAAATGTGTCCACCAGCAACAGACTTATTTCAATTTCAGTCTTACTAATACAAACTGGGAACCTGGCATACGGGGAAAGAAACGAATGTCAACAAAAGTTTGGATTGATTTTATGACTGGTATACCCCTGGCTTATTGCTTCTTGAGACTTCTTTCATCTTCAAACCCAATGAAATCCCAGCAGCTTTTCAAGTCTACGTGGCATGAAGCAAAAAGGAGTGCTGACAGTTATTTTTTTGTTTAATTTAGCTGGACTGGTAATTCAAGAAAAAATAAATTCCTCAAGGGCCAGGAGGAGTAGGGTCTTGAAGGAAATGGTTCCCAAACTCTGGGATCAAGGTTAAAGTCGGAATCTTCAATTGACTTGGCCAAATTGCTTGTCTATACTGTTCCCATCTGTCAGATAATTGCTGATGCTGATGGAATGGCTCGGAATAGAGAAAACAGGCTCTAGTCCTTGCTCTACTAACAAATGTCTATGGACCTCCAGCAAATCACTTTACCTCTCCAGGTCTCTGTTTCCCCATATCTGAAGGGGGTAGTAGCACCCGCCTTGCCTATCCCATAGGCTGTGGCCAAGACCAAATAAAAATGTGCATGGAAGATCTTTGACACATGTTAAGCAATAGACCACCGACTTATCCTGAATTGGAGGGGATCTGTTTAGCCAAAGATAATGAGTTTTCCAAATAATGGCCACCTCCTGACATACTCGTAAAAAAACAAAAGAACAACAGCAACATCAAAAATACCCCAAGTTTTGGCAATGAACTGAATCATTGAGGCATGTAGGATTATGCATTTCTCAATGGCTTTTGTGTCCTCTTATCAGATCACCTTTGAAACAAAAGCAGCCGTGGAAATCCCTACCCCACAGTCCAACCTGGTCTAGAAACCATGATAAGATCACTTTGGTGATTCCTATAAAATTGTTTTGAGAGACAAATAGGAAATGTAACAAAATGCTCTGGTAGGCACGCTCTCTGTATTGTTAGCACCTGCTCTCTTCCCCTCCCACGCGCCTGCATCCTGTCCTGGGCCCAGAGCTGGGGAGCTTTTCACTACATCTGCCAAGTAGGTGGCTTCAATGCACGTGATAAACTTTCATCAGTCAGGTCAGAAGCTTCAGTTCTTAGACAAGTAACCTGAGTTCCACTGAAGGAAAATGATCACAAGAGCTAAAATGGGCTGGAGGACTTCCCTAAAGCCTGTTTCATACAATTACAGAGGACGCTGAAGGGACCACCACAGAGAGGCAGACAATGTCACTACTTGTTCACGTGACCACCTTCCAGAAAGAGTTCTCATCCATTCTCCCTGCCTCCCAGCCTCCTGCAGGCTAACTTCCGCCCTCCACATTCCCCCAAAATGGTTTCCACCATGACTATCTCAATAGATTGGGCTGAATACTTTTTAGGGTTCATTTCTAGTTACCTTTCTATTCGTCTGTTATCCTATGATTCTGTTGTCCCCCTTCTGAAAGCTTTCTCCCCTCGCCTCTCAGAATACTTCTTTGTGTGATTCCTCTTTTCCTTTGTTCCCCTTAAAACTTTGGTATTCCTAGGGCGCCTGGGTGGCTCAGTGGGTTAAGCCTCTGCCTTCGGCTCAGGTCATGATCTTGGGGTCCTGGAATCGAGCCCTGCATCGGACTCTCTGCTCAGCAGGGAGTCTGCTTCCTCCTCTCTCTCTGCCTGCCTCTCTGCCTATTTGTGATCTCTCTCTCCATCAAATAAATAAATAAATCTTAAAAAAAAAAACTTTGGTGTTCCTGCTCCTCATCCTCACTTCCCCTCGCCCACCCCCTCTCCACTCCTCATTCTTTTTTTTTAAGATTTTATTTATTTATTTGACAGAGATCACAAGTAGGCAGAGAGGCAGGCAGAGAGAGAGAGGAGGAAGCAGGCTCCCTGCAGAGCAGAGAGCCCGATTCGGGGCTCGATCCCAGAACCCTGGGATCATGACCTGAGCCGAAGGCAGAGGCTTATAACCCACTGAGCCACTCAGGCGCCCCCTCCACTCCTCATTCTACATGTTTTCCTTAGGAGAGTCCCATCACTCTAATGGTTTTCACTATCACCTTCGTTGTGATAAATCCCAGAACTGTAACTACAACCTTGAACTTCAGACTTGTAAGTATAGCCACCTCTGAACATCTCCACTTGGGTAGCCCAAAGCCACCTCACATTTGCTTGCCCTACTCTTAATTCAACTTCCATCCCAGACCTGTTCTCCCTCAAGCTTCTTCCTATCTCGGAGTACGATGCTCCTATACCTAACTCATCGCCCAGGTCCGAGACCTGGGAGCCGTCCATGATTCCTCCCTCTCTCTTACCCAGATTCCTCCCCAATCCCAATGGCTTCTTCTTCCCCAAAGCTTCTTGACGCCACCACTTTTTTCATGCCGACATCGGAGTCCAGGCCCACATCCCCTCTCTGCTAGATTACTGACTTGTATCCTCCTAATTTAATTCCCTTCCTGCCCTCCCCCATCCAACCTTCATACCACCAGAAGAATGTTAACTCTTATAATTAAGAATTATTATAACATATAATTCTTATGGTAAATCTTGTAAGTGACCTTATTATCTAATCTGACTTGATCCCCTAAGACTCTGCCCCAGGCCCAGGGAAACAGAACAACAGAGTGCCCTGGCGTGTTCAACAGGAATGGGATTAGCTCCAGAATAGTCAGCTTGAACTTCTGTCTTTGAAACCTTGACTTTCTTCCATCCTTCTTCTGCCTGGTCTTCTACAACAATTGGCTACCTTTCCAGCTTCAAACTTGGGCTCTATTTTCTGATTTCTGATTCTCAAACAAACAAGCTTTGGGTCAGGATGACCCATACCTGTCTCTCCTCCAAGAAGGAGTGGCCTTGCCCCTGGTGTTGGGCTCCCTTTGAAAATCTTCAGCTGCTTAAGGCATCCGGAAGTGATTCTTAACCTTAGTTGCCGAGAAATCCATAGATCTATGGAGTGCACAAAAATGCCTGCATCCAAAGTCAAATGTTGACCATCTTTCTCTTCATTAACAGAAAGAAGGAAGTTAATGGATTGAATTGTTTCAGTTTTCAGTTTTTCTTATGCAAAATTTTCTGAAATCTCTGTCCCCCCCTCTTTTTTTTTTTTTTTACTACCGCTTTCCTGCGAGCTGGTGACTGAATTGCAGCAAATAAGTATCAAGGGAAAAGTTCAAAAAACAATGGATCAAACTTCAACGGTTTGTTTTTGGTGTGACTATGCTTGTGGTTGTGATTTTATATTGATAACCTAGAACACAGTCATAGTTTCTGCTAGGAAAATTATTTCCAGTACATACGAAAGAGTTAAATATATCACCATTTTGTTTGTTCTACAAATGGCCTAGCGTAGACTCTTTTCCCTGAACATGTCTGGGAAACCATAGCCTAGAGCACAGCACCTCAATTCTTAGCACAGAACATGATCTGTTCCCTGTCCACCTTTCTGTCTTCATCTCTCATAACTTGGTCCTGCTCAACCCTGAGCATCAGCCATATCAAGCTAGGCTTATTCCCCTAAATGTACTGTGGTTGGTCAAGCTGTTCCCTGTGCACGTGCCCCACTCCCCCCCCCAACCTTTATCCATTACGGCTGATGAAGAGACATCCCCTCCCAGCAGACAAGCATTTGCCACATTACCTCATAATTGACTTGTTCGATTTCCCTATCATTAGCTCCTAGTGGAAAGAGACAATTAAAAAAAATCGCAGAATCTTTGCTTCCTGACACATGGGAAGGAATTAGTAAAATCTCTGCCAATTTTCTGAATTTTCTCTTAAGGAGATCAAAAGGGGAGCTGTACAACATTCTAATCTGATGGAGTAGCCCTAGCAAACCTCTGTGATACAAATCAGAATATATTTAAGTTTTCTTCTGGTCTTCTAGTTATCTTTCTCTCCTCTGGCATCAGTTCCCTTTGTTTATTTTGGTCCTTCTCTTTCATGTTGATGGTTTTCCTCAAACGTCTGATGACCCTTTGTTGTCTGGTCATGTTTATGTATGAAAAACCAAGTTTATTTTTATGGGTAGATAGCATGGGTTTCCTCTGCAATTGTACTGATCTGTTTCCCCCCACAAAGCTTTCTCCGGAATGGGAGGGCTGACTGCGGGTTCTCTTTCAGTGGGTAGAGTCTGTCAACAGGCGGGCTTCCCTTTAGGTTATGTGGGTGGAGAGGCAGGAAGGCCAGGGACCCCCACAACTGATAAAGCAAGGAGGGCTTTTCTCTGGGGGTGAAGCCCTTTAGAGGGTTTCACTCTTGACTGATGCTGGTTTTCCTTTTGTTTTCTTTTTCCTGTCTTTTGCAGAGGTCTTAACATCCTCCCTAGAGCCCTCCTCAGGCACTTCAGCCTGAGGGCAAAGGCCAAATGCTGCTGCTGACAAAGGGTTCCTGGGGGAAGGGACAGAGAGAGAGAAAAGAGCCCACCTGTCCCAGCTGTTTCCACTGCAACTCATCAAGAGTTACCGTAATGATTACCTCTCAGCCTACCCCTGCTCTTTGCATTCATTGTCTCTGGGATTGGCGTTTCCTTGGGAAAACCCACTCTTACCTCTGAGTTCTGAATTGCAATGTTCTCCGCTCTGATTTCTCTTCTAGTCCAAGTTCATTACCTTTCTTACTTGTTGGTACCACTCAAAATTTGTTTCACACTGATGTCACCTTTTCTTGTTTCCCCATGGTTGCAATTTCATTTTTTTTACATTTATTTTTGGCCAAATAATACAGTCACATGGTTAAAAAGGTAAATTATATGAAAAACTGTGCAATGTAAAGTCA